GAGGGTCACCATGAGTTGGAACCAACTTGATGAGAATGGATTTGAACTTTTTATTTTTACTTTTGGAAACAGAGGCCAGAACTCAGAGAGACAAGCATTTTTTTTTAACCAATAAAAACAGAAAATGCTTCACAAATCTGCGTGTCACCACTGTGCAGGGACCATACTAATCTTCTCTGTATTGTTCCAGTTTTAGTATATGTGCTGGCAAAGCAAGCATGAAACAAGCATTCTTATACACGTCTGAGGACAGGCAAGCACTGTCTAGAAGGTGATTTGCTAACATATATTAAAGCCTGAAAGCCCTAGCTCCACAAGCTTACCTAAGAATTTATCTACCCAAGGCTAAAAAAAACCCCAAACCTGTTAGAACTAGTAGACCAACTGGTAGAGTAGTAGGACATAAGACCAATTAAAAAAAACAAAAATCAATGGGATTCATCCTCAATAACAAAGAAAACACAGAAAAAGAAAATAAGAAAGCAATATTTTTTATAATACCCAATCACAAACTGAGATACTTGGGGGAAAACCTAACTAGAGACCTTTATGAAGAAAACTACAATACACTACTCCGAGAAATGATCAAAGCCTGAATTAAATGGAAAAATGGTCCTTGTTCATGGATAGGAAGACTCAATATAGTAAAAATGATCATCTTATTAAAAGCAATCTACATGTTCCATGCAATTCCAACACAGATACCAAATTCATTTTTCAAAGAGACAGAAAAGGCAAAAAGCAAGTTTATTTAAAGAAGAAAGAGACCCAAATAAGGAAAGCACTTCTGAAAAACAAAAAGGAAGTGCCAGACATAGCAATCCCTGATCTCAAAACTTAACACCCATCATAAACAAAACAGCATGGTACTGGTACAATGACAGATACATACACCAATAGAACAGAATCAAGAACTCAGAGGTTAATCCATTTACATATGGCCAACTGTTACTCGACAAGGAAACAAAACCTATAAAATGGGGAAATGATCACCTCTTCAACAAATGGTGCTGGCAAAACTGAACTATTACTTGCAGAAAGTAAGATCCACATTTCAGTCCATACACAAAAAATCAACTCAAGGAGGATCAGAAACTTAGGTGTAAAGCCCAAAACCATAAAAACCGTGAGACAAAATAAGACCAAACTTAGAAGGTCTAGCCTATGGTACAAAGAGGCTGGAAAATTCAGCCAGAAATCCATAACCAGGTAAGGATCACATTGATGAATGGGATCTTCTAAAGATTAAGTCCCTGTGTGTATAAAACTTTCTCCACTTGGGTGAAAAGAAAACCTACAGACTGGGAAAAGCATTTGGCAACAGCATCTCAGACCAGGGTCTCACAACAGAAGTTTACAGAATCCTACAGGGCCTCCACAAGAAAAGGACTGATAACCCAACCACAAAATGGGAAAAAGGCATGGAAAGACTTTTTACAGAGGAAGACATTCACATGGCCAACAGACACATGAAGAAATGCTCAAAATCACTGGCAAAAAGAGAATACAAATCAAAACCACAATAAGATACTATCTCACCCCAATAGCAGTGAAAAAATTTAACGGGACAGTAAACAATAATCATTGGAGAGTATGTCGAGAGATTGGAATTTTCATACACACTTGGTGAGACTTTAAAATGGTGCAACCACTCTAGAAGGCAGTTTTGTGTTTCCTCAAAAAGCTGAACATTGAGATTCAAAATGATCCAACTATTCCACTGCTTGGAATACACTCCAAGAAAAACAGAACTGACATACAAATGGAGATGCTCACAGCAGCTTTATGTACAATAGCAAGTAAATGGAAACAGCCCAAATGTTCATCATCAAACAACTAGATTGAGAAATTGTGGAACATTCATACAACGGAATACTATGCAGCTCTTAGGAAAAATGATTTTGACAAAAGAGTACTGTGGTGTTAGTCCCCTCTAGTGTCTGGCTACCTTAACTGCAGATCCATGGTCTTGTAAATCAGCACAGTCATGCAAATCAGCATCAGCTGTGGGACTAGGATAGGAGAGAAAAAGTGCCTCCCACACTGAAAAGCCAGCCTTGAGATGAGCAAGGCTTGTGGTGGCAAAACCTGGTGAGAGTGAGACCATGGTGGTGGAAAGACTATGGCACGGCTGCGGAGAAATGGTGGCAAGGTGTGATCTGAGGCTTCTTGCATTTGTGTTGGCCCAGCTAAAGATTTCAAATAAAATATTCAATGATATTTGAAGGAGAAGCTGACATGTAACTACTCTGAGGCAAACCTTACTGGATTTTTTGGATTTGACTGCTGAACTGAAACTAGAGCCTAGGCAAATGGATAAATGTGCCTTGGGACACTTGGGCTAAAATTGTGGTTATAGGCTCAAATTCTGTTTTTATTTTATCCCTTCTTAGAGTTGCATTGGGAAAGTCTGCTGTCAGAGACCTCTCCAAAGTATTTAAGAGCAATGATGTCAGTCTGGAGACTAAGGTGCTCCTGATACAGGCCATGGTCTTTGCCATTACTTGCTATGCATCAGAAATGACTAGGGATGACGGAGGAGAATTGATGCCTTTGAGCTGTGGTGTTGGAGAAGAGTACTAAATATAACATGGACTGCTAGAAGAACAAATAAGTTAATCTTGGAGAGGATAAAGCCAGGCTGCTTCTTGGAGGCAAGGATTCTGAAGCTTCGTCTGACAAACTTTAGACATGTTTCAAGGAGGGCCCAGTCCTTGAAGAGGGATGGCATGCTTGGGAGGTGGAGGGACAGCGCAGGAGAGGAATACCCTCGATGAGATGGCTTAATTCAGTGACTGGGGTAATAGGGAAAAGTGTATCGGAGACAATAAGGTTGGCTGTTGTACATAGGGTCGCTATGAGTTGCAGGTAACTTGATGGCAGATAAAAACAACAACAACAATATTGTGGAATAAGGCTCAAGTTCTGTTATTTTCTCACTTCTTAATGATTCATCAGTTCTATTGTGATTAAAGGCTAAAACTGGGCTAAAATTTGGTTTTGCCTTGGTATTCTTTGCCACCCTCACTCTCCAAATTCCTCCCCTAATAAATCCTACTGTTGGTAATATAACTGTGAGTCTGTGAGTCAGCAACAAATAAACAAACCTGTTCTGGTGGGGTTCTAGAGGCACCATGGGGCCAGGCTACAGACTCTATCTGCTTTCTGCTCTAGGACAGTGCAGGGACATGCTATTCTTATACCCTCTGGCCCTTTCAGAGCAATACTCATGGTCCTATGCTCCTATGTACCATATTCCCTTCTTTATTTGGGGGGTGGGGTAGGGGTGGGGATATGTGTGTGTGTGTGTGTGTGTGTGTGTGTGTGTGTGTGTGTTACACCATCAAATCAGGTCTGACTGGTACAGGAGGGGATTGCCCCTCCTTCTCCAGCACAGCATCTGCATACCTCTGGAATTGTAGTGCAGTTTCTTGTCACTAGGCCACCAGCGCTCTCTCATATTCCCTTCTTTAGATAACTATATAACATGGGTGGGGATAGAAACTACATAACATGGAAAAGGATAAAGAGCATTATGTTGCGTGAAGTAACTCAGTCTCATAAGAACAAATACTGCACAAGAACATTATTGTAAAAATAGGATAACTAGTAAGATGTATATAAATGTCCAAAGGAGGAAGGAGAGAGGGATGAAAGGAACGAGGGGGATGGGAGGGGAGAGAAAGTGTAAAAATAAATAAATGTATATAAATAATTGGGTAGGTAACCAAGTTGTTTTATAAACTTTCATGCAAATTACAACAAAATCAAAGAAAAAAAATTTTAAGAAACAATTTCTAAATGGGAAGGATCCAGGAGAAAATGATGGTGAAGGTCCAAAGGTGATTAATTTTATAGAATATAATTCATGCGAAAGTATGAATCACAATGTGAATTAAGAATAGTGTGAAACACAATGTACACAAACTTTGTAAGCAAACCAATTAAAAAAAACAAAAGTTTGAAGGGAAAGAAAGACATTCCATGTTAAATAAAGAAAATAATTTATCTAGAAAAAGAAATAAGAGGTTTGGCCAAGGATTTAAGTTAGAAGTAATCTAAATATCTGACAATGTGGGAAATTATCACATAAATCATAATATATACAGAAGACATACTATTTATATAAAAAGTTTATATAATAAAGTTTTTTAAGATGTTGACTGTATCAGAAAATGCTTTTGATAAGTAAAATGAAGACTTTTAAAGTAAAATGAAGAAAATAAGACTACACTGTGTTATAACAAACTCACTTATCAAGACTATAGCCTATAGCCACTCTTCAAACTTGTGAACCCACTCAGAGAGATCACTTTTCAGACAAAAAACAGACAAGCCTGGTGGCCTAGTGGTAAGAAGCTGAACTGCAATCCCCAAAGCACATTTCTAATCCACCAGCTACTCCATAGAAGGACGGACAATCTCCTCCAATGCAATTCACTGCCTCTGAAAACCCACTGGAGGGTTCAGCTATGAGTCAGTTCCAGCTCAACAGCACACAACAATAAGATGAAAACTAACACCCATGAAAAACATTATTTCTCAGAATTACCCAACTACATGAGATCAAAAGGCCAGTATCTACCCAATAACCAAGTCCAGAAAGTAGGAAGGGATAGGAAAGGATAACTGGAAATGAAATCCAGGGAGATTGCGGGAAGAATGTCATTACACTGAAGAGATTTCAACTAATGTCACAAACCCAAATGGTTTTTAAATTTTTTAATGGAAATCTAACTTGCTCTGTATACTTTTACCCAAATCACAATTTTAAAAAATTTAAAATAAACCATCCTAGCTTAACCATAATTTGTGTTTATAAGTAAGTATCTGTACTGATACTTACTATCACCTAGAAAAAAGTTGAAATATACCAAAATACAAATTAACTTTCTGAGGTGAAAGACTAAAACAAATTTCAATTTTAAGTTTTCTAGCATTTTGAAAATGTAAGTAAATATCAGAGAAATATGTTATATAAAATAAGAGAGTATTTTTACCTTCTTCCTTTTTCTAGAAGAATTCTTTGTGGGGTCAGGCTTTTCAAATTCTCCTGACTGGGCCTCTTCTTTCTCCTCTTCCTCCTCAGGTATCAGAGAGTATTTGGTCCCTCCTGGCTGCATGAAGCAATCCTTTGCAAAGTGGCCTGTGAAAAGAAGTTGAAAAGATACAAAGGGAGCAGGCAAACAGTCTCCTCTCAGCTGGTGGATCTTCCCTGGAAGCTCCTGCACGGGGCTGGTGGATATAGGACGGGTTACTGAATTCAGGCAGAGCAGATTTTTCGGTCACTTCATGATGGCATTGCTCACTCAACCATAACCTGACCAGTAGCTGGTCCTTGAGCTATGGGGAATGCTGGTGCTGTTCTGAATATGAGGATGCGGGCTTGTGCTGCCCTCCATTAGCAATGCAATTATTCTTTCTTAAAGATCTATTTCAGAACTTACTCCTTACAATGAAAAGCTGTTCTGGAGAGAATACTTAGCAGAGATATATGAGTGTCAGGCTAGGCCCAAAAGGAAACTAGTTCTTAGGTAGCTGGTAGAAAGGAACATCACACTCAAGATAACAGATAGAGGCACCTAGTGGTATTAAAATTTCACAGATCATTGGGTCTGCTAAGGGCCTTAGAGATCATAAGATTTCAGTAGTGATCACTGCCCAGTATATGATGGTCTAGAGCAGAGAAGTAGCTCGAGATCCAGAGAGAGAGAGTAACACAGAACTAAAGCTCATCTTGGCCTCATGTATCTTTGCTTGGGCTCTTTTTGGTACACTGAAGCTAAACCAACCTTTTGTATTACCTTTGCTGACTGGGTCAAACTCTATTTCTATTTTCCTCTGCCTCAACTCTCACTTGATGGACACAAGGTGAAAATAAGATAAACTCTATTCTCCTTTAGTCTACAGCACTTTCAGGGGGCCCTGTGACAGAGACTATGATCTTACTACAGAGTTGTTTGAGTGTATGTTGTATCTTGCATCAGGAACACAGAAGAATTTTATTAGACAAAAAACCATGAGTAAACTATACCTCTGGGCCAGAAGAAAAATGGTATCTGGAAGGTGACTAAAACACAGAGTTTTCCAAGAATTTGGAATGCTCCCACAATTCCTCAGAGAAAGTACTGTCTATAACTTTTTTCTTTTCCCTTTATCTCTCAACAATAATGAGAGACAGGGACTGAAAACTCCAACAACTCAACCAGGCCAAAAATTGGCTACCAGTCTTTGTATAAAAATTAACAGAGCAAGATGGGTGGAAGGCTAGGCAGAAGGGTGACAAATTGAGGTCACTCTGTAAATGAGAAGCTGGCAATCTCTCTTCATTATAGTTCCAGCAAGGGAAGTCAGGCTGAAAGAGCTCTTTAATATTTGAGTAAGACCAGAGGAAACCTGAAGAAACAGAACTAAAAGGAAGTGACAGGGCTGTCTTCTTATTACCAAAGGATTTTATACTCAGATGTTAAATAAATAAGAGTAGTAAAGAGTTTAGCTTGGATCCTGAAGGGAATCTATTTCCAAGTTTCTTTAAATTTTTGCAGCAGAATAGAAGACATAAAATTCCAGGCATTAATCATAACCCACACTCTTACCGTAACAGAATAAAAGAGAACTTTGTACAGGAGGCAGGTCACTAGCTGCACAGAATGAGGTGGGGGGGGGCATGGTGGGAGTGGTATAGGTGCTATCAAGAACAGCATTCAGAAAAGGGAGTGAAGAAAGCAGCAAGACACAATCTCCAATGTTGTTGGTAGGAGGAACGGCATGAGCAAGTGAGTCTGACAGCTGGCTGAAAACTAGTGAGAATAATTTCAAGCAGGCCGCCTCATTCATTTGTATTGGGTCCACGCACAAGGAGAGAAACTAGAAAGACAGAGGCTTCACCTTACCTTTACAGCCACACTTCTTGCAGGTAGTGTTTAGGACAGCCTCAAGGGTGATCTTCTGCCCAGTGTAATCCTGGAAGGACCGTCTCCGCCTCTCTTCTTGGCTGTAATGAAAAGGATACTGTTGCCCTCTTTAAGAGTTATGGCCCAGGATTTTACAAAGAAACGTACATTGGCTTTTTGGTTGTTTTTGATAGAAAGAAGGGAAAGTGTTTGGTGGAAGGAGACAGGCAATGAAAATTATGGCGTCAAATAGCAGTTTTTGCATTCAGGACAAAGATCTGACTTAACAATTATGAATAAAACCAGGTGTCATCACAACGATACAGAGAATTAAATATTAAGTATTTCACCTTGCAAAACCCTTATAATTCCTGGGTTTAAAAGATTTTCCAAAGCTTTGTAGAAAATCAAGTCAAATTTTCTTACTTTGGCATTCAAGACCTTTTGTACTATACCCAAACCTACTTTCCCAGTCTCATCTTTGCCAATACAAAGTGCCTTCGCCAAACCCAAACCATTTTGCCTTGATGGCTTGTGCTTTCATCTGAGTACTTCCTTCTCTCTAAAATGCTCTACCTCTACTCTTTACTTTCATCTCAGCACTTCATTCCATCCAAGTATCTCACAGCTCAGCTTAGTTACCACTTCCTCTGATCAAGTAATTTACTCTGGAGCCCAGCCATAAACCTTTCTTGATGTTCCCATAATATTTTAAGATTCTAAACTTTTAAGTAAAGTATAGTATATAGAAAGCACATGCACAGAGTAGGTACTTAAAAAAATATTTAAGGGCATTAGATGCAAATCAAGACAACTATGAGATATCATCTCATTCCAGTTAAGATTAGCAAAATTTAACAGACCAGCAAGCAACAAATGCTGGCGAGGTTGTGGAGAGACTGGAACCCTTATTCACTGTTGGTGGGAGTGTAAAATGGTG